ATTCTGCAGCTCCGTTGCTTCACATGGTTCGTCGACTTACTTCATACGCTCATCGACATTAATTATGCTTCTATGACTCGAATAGTGACGTTCATCATCTTCTCTCTGTCTCGAGCCGCGTGCGGGAATCCGTGGGCAATTTTTGACGCCTACAGTAGTAAATGAGAGTTTATTATTATTCAAACAAGAGATATTACATAAACAACGTTCTAACAATATGAGCCAAACAATGCACTAAACTTAGTGGGGGTATCGCAGCTTGCACTGCGTTGCACTGCGCCAACCAGTCGTGAGCCCGGTGCATGACAAATGGTATTATAGCAGTTGGCCAACCAGAATTGTGGAACTAAGTGCTACGCAGGGCTAAATGCTATATCGCGTGAGTGAGGTGGCAGCCACCTTTGGAGCTAGTAGGAGCCACTTCTAGGGTCCACATCGCCTGGTAGTGATACTACGACGTGCTAATTGCCATGTCGTGATGAGGACATCGCTTATATAAGGTGGAGTGATCGAGATTCCCAAGTGTTTAGTCCAACATCGGAATGTGTAAAGAATTTGTGTGGTTTAAACAGGTAAGCTTAAGACACAAGTGTAATATCGACTAATCGATTTTGGAAGTGATTTGAACCACACAGCTCGCTACACTCATTGGGTCCCACGGCTTGTACTGTGCCAATTGACCAGCCCTGGGGTATGACAGTTATTGTCATACTCTTGCAATAAGATATAGTTTTGGACTAGGAACAGAGGCATAAAGAATCTTAGAACCTGGTGATTAGGATCTTAATATCAGAAAACCCTCTTTAACTTTTAAGATTTTTTTTTCAAAACCCCTATAATAGTGTTAACCGAAATTTTCACAGGCAAAAATATCATCTTGCGTAATTTTATCCAGCCAAGTGAAAATTATGGATTTCTAATAATTGGCCGTCTTTTTTTTTCTTGGTTTTTTTGGAGTTTCCTGATAATCCCCAACTTAAGAAGGCTTTTCTAATGTTTTAAAATTTATGGGGGATTATCTGATAATCGTCCAAAGTTAAGAGGAGTTTTATAATATCTAGCCAAAGAACATCTTAAGTTTATGGGTGATAGTGACCATTTCAAGAGCCCTAATTAGCCATCATATTTTGGATTCTTGTTTACCAATATATTCTGGTTCAGAGCATTACACTGCCTCCTACTTTACTTTTGGACTGTAAAGTGCACATGTGGATTAAAAAATTACAAGCAATTAAGGGAGACATCATATACATGCCCCAGCCCAAGCTTGATGACATCATCTAAACAAAAATTAGTCAACACGTTGAAGATATAAATACGCGTGGAGATGTACTATATATGGTTCTGTAAATAAAATTCAGTAAAATAATTAGGCATTACCTTGGAATATCAAATTAAAATGTTAGAATAAATGAGGTTAATAGCATGAGTTTTAGAAGTGCAAGGGTCATAAGTTTAGAAGGGGAAGAGACATAGGTTATGGAAGAATAAGAGTAACTTCCTCATTTATGATATTTATCTTTATGGCATTAAAATAGGAGTTTAATTTGTGACTATTGGTATGCCTAGACGTTTTTATTTTAAAGCCTATATAAAGGGCTATTGTAATCCTTGTTTGATATGAAGAAAGAAAATTGAAGAAATATAAGTGAGTTCTTTGTCTTCATTTGAGAGAGTTCTAAATTCGTAAACTTAAGAGTCATGAGTGGTATCAGAGCCACTTGATCCAATTTTCCAATTCTCTCTTATTCTCATGGCTACCACAAATAATCTTGTCAATCCTCAAGTGCCCAAATTATTGAAAGATAACTATGAGAGTTGGTCAATCCAAATGAGAGCCTTATTTGGTTCTCAAGAGTTGTGGGAGCTGATCATTGATGGGTTCACGGAACCTACACCAGAAGTAGAAGCCACCTATACTTCCGAAGAGAAGAAGGCTCTCAGAGAGCAAAGAAAGAAGGATAGTAAGGCTCGTTTTCTACTCTATCAAGGGTTAGACGAGTCTACCTTTGAGAGAGTTGCCGAAGCAACGATGAGCAAGAAAGCATGGGAAATCCTTGCGACCATCTACAAAGGTGTCGAGCGGGTGAAGCGAATTGGCCTCCAAACTTTGAGGGGCGATCTTGAAGCCGCTCAAATGAAAGATGAAGAACAAATCTCCAATTATTATTCACGATTACTTCTAATTGTGAATAAAATAAGGAGAAATGGAGAGAAGATGGAGGATATCCGAGTGATGGAGAAGTTGCTCCGATCCCTCACATCAAAATTCGAGCATGTGGTGGCGGCAATTGAGGAGTCAAAGAATTTGGAGGAGATCTCAATAGAGGAGCTCTTGGGATCTTTCCAAGTTCATGAACAACAAATGCAAAAGAAGGCTAGTTCCATAGTTTTGGAGAAAGTACTAGAGTCAACATTGACTCTAAGTAATCAAGGCTCACAAGGAAGAGGTCGTGGTCGTGGTCGTGGTAGAGGCAGGAGACGTGGTCCCCAACAGCAAACCACTCAAAATCAAGTGGAGACCAAAAGCTTTAGAGGACGAGGACGAAGCAATCGTGGAAGATCCACACCTGGGTGTGGAAGCAACGAAAATGTTTAGTGCTATAAATGTCACAAGTTTGGGCAATATGCTTCAAATTGTTGGGACAAAACTGAAGACCAAACCAATCTTACCGAAGCAACAAATGATGTGGGTAACAACTCTACGCTTCTTTTGCTAATGATGATTCAAGTGTTGAGAATGATGTTTGGTACCTTGACTCGGGTGCTAGCAACTACATGTGCGGAAGAAAGAACTTTTCATGGAACTCGCAGAAGGAGTTCATGGTAGTGTGAGCCTCGGAGATTCTTCAAAACTCCCGGTTGAAGGCAAAGGGAAGATTAAAATCTACCAAAAGGATGGTAAGCCCGAGTATATTTCTGATGCTTACTGTATTCCTAACATGAAAAGTAATATACTTAGCATCGGTCAATTACTTGGAAAGGGATACAAAGTATATATGGAGAACAACCATATTTGGTTGAAAAATGCAAATGGAGGCCTCATAGCTCGTGTTAAGATGACAAGGAACCGTATGTTTCCCTTGAATCTAAACACGAAAATCGATAAGTGTTTTCAAGGACTCACGGAGAATGAGTCATGGAGGTGGCATCTTCGCTTTGGTCATCTAAACTTCAGCGGTTTGAAGTTACTGTCTATAGCTGGCATAGTACGAGGTCTACCTACAATTGATTCACCGAATCATATTTGTGAAGGTTGTGTAATTGGCAAGCAACCACGACTTCCTTTTCCCAGTGGAAAATCATGGAGAGCAAAGGCACCATTGCAACTAATTCACACCGACATCTGCGGACCCATCGATCCCATCTCTTTTGGAGGTAATAGATATTTTATAACCTTCATTGATAACTTCAGTAGAAAGTTATGGGTGTACATTCTTAAAGAAAAATCTACTGCCTTTACTACATTCAAGCATTTTAAAGTTTTAGTTGAAGCAGAGAGCGGCCACAAGCTAAAAATTCTTCGATACGGCCAAGATGGTGAGTACACCTCAAATCTGTTTCAAGAATATTACAGAGAGCAAGGTATAAATAGACTGTTTACTACTGCCTACACACCAAAGCAAAATAGCATTGCAGAAAGAAAGAACTGGACCATCCTCGACATGATATGAACCATGCTCAAAGAAAAGGGATTGCCAAAGCAGTTCTGGGTAGAAGCCGTGGCGTGCTCAGCTTATTTCCTCAACCGATGCCCACAAAGATAGTGAATAACAAGACACCTCAAGAGGCATGGAGCGGTTACACGCCTAGTGTGGCACACCTACGAATTTTGATTTGAAGGGGCGTGTTGGAATATCAAATTAAAATATTAGAATAAATGAGGTTAATAGCATGAGTTTTAGAAGTGCAAGGGTCATAAGTTTAGAAGGGGAAGAGACATAGGTTATGGAAGAATAAAAGTAACTTGACATAGGTTATGGAAGAATAAAAGTAACTTACTCATTTATGATATTTATCTTTATAGCATTAAAATAGGAGTTTAATTTGTGTGACTATTGGTATGCCTAGACGTTTTCGTTTTGAAGCCTATATAAAGGGCTATTGTAATCCTTGCTTGATATGAAGAAAGAAAATTGAAGAAATATAAGTGAGTTCTTTGTCTTCATTTGAGAGAGTTCTAAGTTCGTAAACTTAAGAGTCATCACGAATTAGTCCCATATCCATACCCGCCTACTGTGTAATATCAAAGTCTGCATAGATTATTGATAAACGATATAAATATAGAGATCTTGTATGAGTTAGTGTTTAAGGTTCAGAAAACTGCTGGACCCTTTCGTCTAAAAGGATTACCAGGCATATTCCTGAAAATTTGAAGTCAAAATTCCATTAGGGTCAAGGTTTCTAGAGGAATGAAAAAGAATGTAAAATCAAAATTGGTCTCTAGTCGGAAGGTCAAACAAATCCATCTCTAACCAAAGTTAGAAGCGAACCAAAGGGATTACAGCAGTAGAGGAATGAAGTAGATCATTTTCACTTTGTTCCTTTTTCTTTTTCTTTTTTTTTCTCCTTTTTAGTTTGCCTTCTCTCAGCATTTACGATGGGCTTGGTCGTGAGTAAGTAATGGCCCAATGAATAATGATGCAGAAAAGAGTAATTATATAGCTACACTTCATTAGTTCTTATCATTTTAATCGTGCAGGATTTAGGTGCAAAGTCGCAGTAGATCCTGTGGTTGTTTGATTCTGCATAATTTCCTTATTTTTACGGACGGCCGTAAAACTTCCCTTCTAGTTTTGTTTCAATATCTTATAAAATATATTATCTTTTAAAAGAGAAAAGAAAGGAACAAATGAATGTTCTAAAATGTTATTTATGTTTTAACAAATAAACATGATAATCTTTAACATTCATTGATGCACTATGGTATTAATTCAATTTATAGTATCATTTTTCATTATCACTTTCATCAAAATAAGACTAATTCTCTGTTGTTGTAGGGAAGAGGAACATCATTATTATCAGCATGGTTATCTTTGTAGTAATCACATTCATGCTTATCCTTGCTGTCAGTATTTTCCTTAAGAGGAGGTCAGCGAAAAATAGCAGTGGTAAGTACTACACTTTCATAGTAAACCAATTAGATCATGTTGCAAATAATCCTGACAATACATAATGTCTTCGGTCATTTTTGCTGCATGGATAAGAGTAGAAACATTTAAACATTTATTTGTTTATGTTGAAATGGTTAAGCTAATACAAGGTAACAAATGAAACACAATATCCACTTTAAACGGGATCTTGGAGATAAAATGGTCTGCCAAATTTATATCCTCCAGTATGAAGTTACAGTTAAGAGAGAAGTAGAGTTTGTTAGTTGAACTTTGCAACATCATTGATGGACAGAAACATGTCATGATTACGTTCAGAAAATGCTGTATAGAGAGCATAACATATCCACTAGCATTCGTTGTTCACCCTGATAGGGAATATCAGATACGCTCTGATACCTGTTGTCGGGGATTCAAGCTACCAAACGTTGGTACAACTGCTCCTTAGCTAACCGACCACCTGTCAAATATAAACCCTATGTGGAATTTGCCTTACCGGATCTTGTGTTAAGCAATGAAAAAAAGAAATAACAGCAAATCAAAAAATAACAAGAACAGAGACCACCAAGTTTAACGAGGTTCGGCAATTTGCCTACGTCCTCGGGAGCCACACAAATAATTTTCTTTATATTAAAGAAAATTACAAAGCTTGAATAAGAGCAGATCTCAACTTTAGATCTCTCAAAAGAAGAACCAACAGAAAACTCTCTGTTGTTCAAATAAAGTGCGAGATTTTCCAACTTAGAAAATCTCCTCTCTCCCTCTCTCTCTCTCCTCAATAAATTGCTACAGGAATCTCTCCTTAAATGAGCGAGATTTTCAGAGGAAAATCTTGAGCTCAATAAATGGTCGCCGCCAGAGATAATCGCTGAGAAGAAGAAAACGGAACAACGGCGCGAGTTCTCTCGTGCATAGGGTTCCCTTAAATAGGGAAACCCTAGCCAAACAGCTGGAGACAGTTGTTCTCCAACATCGCAGGCAAAAGGGGAAGGGCGAAACTTCAAGCTCGCCTGCTCAGTCCCGCACTCAACGTTCGCCTGTAAGCTCAAACCCTGCCTACACTTCAACTTCGCCTGCAGAGGGTCTTCGAGTCTGCCTGCTCGAGTTCGCCAACCGAACCTCGCCTTCGCCCGACTCCAAGCTCGCCTGTAGCTCATCGACGACTTCGCTTGAAACCCTCAAGCTCGCCTCCAAGGGGGTCGCAATCTCGCCTACAGCTTCTCAACCTCGCTTGAAAGTCATCGCCTTCAGCTCGACCCGCCTTACGCAGTTCGACCTCGAGTTCGCTTGTAGCCTTCCGCGAGCTCGCCTGAGCTCGTCTTCGTTGTTCGATCTCGCCGGAGGTCGCCGTCAACGGCGGATAAGGTATGGGTCCACACCCTTTTTTTCCAACAATCTCCCACTTGGAAACCAATTCGTCATCAGCAGACTCTCTCTTAACAAGCATCTTCTCCTGTGTGGCTCCGCCCTCATCCCTTACATATGAAGGCCAACTGAAATTGTGCACAACTCCAGTTTCTGAATGGTGACTGCCTTAGTTAACATATCTGTAGGATTTTAACTCCACAAAATCTTCTCCAACTGTAACTTCCCATCCTCAATCATTGAGCGTATGAAGTGGTAACATAACTCAATGTGCTTCGTTCTGGCATGAAATACTGGGTTCTTGGCAAGGTGTATAGCACTCTTGCTATCACAATAAAGAACTTCGTTCCCCCACTTCAGACCAAACTCTTCCAGGCACCTGGTTAACCAAATCATTTCCTTGCTCGCCTCTGTCACTGCGACATACTCTGCCTCAGTTGTGGACAACGTTACAATCTTCTGCAAATGTGAGATCAGCTCGCTGCTGTCGACCTTAAGGTATAAACATACCCGTTGTGCTTCACCTTGTATAATGATCACCGATGAAATCCGCATCCACATATCCCTGTAGTACCAACTCCTTTCTTCCGAAACACAGTGGCATATTCGTAGTCCCTTTCAGATATCGTAATATCCACTTCACGGCCTCTTAATGTTATTTCCCTAGATTGCTGGCAAACCTGCTCACAACTCCCACTACATGGGCAATATCCGACCTCGTGCAAACCATTGCGTACATCAGACTATTAGACCCTAGAGGGGGGGGGGGGGGGTTAGGGTCTTATGCTAATCTAATCTGATTAAATGCCAATTAAAATTAATTAATAAGTTATCCTAGCAAGTATGAAATATAACAACTATATATAAGCTAGGATAAGCAATATGAACAACAAAGAGGTATATCCTATGATATATGCAAGGATATAAAAACTAACACAAGGGTAAACAATATGAACTAGATAGTGGATCATATAAATAATGAGCTAATGACAGTGGCGATATAAGATATGAGCATGAATATAAATGAACGCCAAAGCACACTCAAACACACTATATGATCACGGAGTTCGGACCTTCCGTCCTACGTCTCCGCTCCCCACTCCCGGGGAGAAATCCACTATCACGACCGGGTTTTCTACGCTCACCCGAATAACGTTTACAACCACACAGTGTCGGTTTCAACGCTCACCGAACAACGTTCACTCCTCACACTCGGTTTTCTAGTTCACCGAAAACTTCACAACACACTCGGTTTCTAGCTCACCGAAAACCTAACAATCTCACAATGTAACAAATATAAATTGTTCTCTAATATGGATGAGAACACAATAAAAGCCCACACTCAATGTTACAACTCTCACAACCCTAATATATTATGAATACAAATACAATAAGCTCAAGTGAGTGTGTGTAAACAATGAGTGAAATCAAAATCAAAACTAAACTCAATTAAAATCTAGCATATAGAAATTATAAACAAAATAATAAATAGCTAGAAATGAGTTTAGAGATTCTTCTCTGAATAACAAGATGGAGAGATGGAGATTGAAGCCCAAACAAGAAGATAATCTCCTCCACTTGTGAAAAACAAAACAGCTTTAAATCAAACCCTTAAACAAGCTTAAAACAAGCTTAAACTCTTGTTAAAATCTTTTAAACCATTCTCTTGCTTGCTTATAAAATCTGAGGTGTCGACCGAAAATCCCGTCGGTCGACCGATGAGAGCAAAAACACGAAGAAAACGTTCTGGACCATCGTCGGTCGACCGGTGCGGTTGACCGATGGAGCTTTCGGTCGACCGGACCGGTCGACCGACAGACTCTCTGTCGCCCAGTGAGAATATGAACTCAGGTTCGGTCGACCGGTACGGTCGACCGAAAACAGATATGACAGAAACTGAAACCTGTTTTGCTGGTTTTAAAATGCTGTTTAAAAATATCAAATAAATTCCAAAAAATGTAAAACTTTGGGGAATGATTGTAGACATGATAATAAACATGCTACAACGACTGGTTTCGAAAAAGGACTTCCCAAATGAAAAATATCATCATTTTGCAAAATAGTCCAAAACACGAAAATGTAAACATGTGAATTTTGACATTTTGGCTAAACCAACTTTTGAAACTTTACAAAATGATTTTATAGACTTGAAGAAAGATGTAAACTATTGTTATGAAGTCTATAAACAATGAATGTAGTATTTTATCAAAATACACATATAATGCACTAAAACATGATTTCATTTAACTAACTAAAATTGATATTGATGAAATCATATATATGCATATGAGTATGAAACAAAAATATGTTTTCTAATTATATTCTATTGTTTCATAGTAGAACTTGAAAACTATCAAACCAAAACATATTTGTATATATATAACTATATATATACAAAAACCAAAACGTGTATTTGTGTATATGATTGAGCTTAAAGTACTAACACACATAATATAAATTCCTAAACTAAATTACCCAAGCAATGATCTTGATCTTCAATAAGCTTGACTTGGTAATCTCGCGGATGAAGCTTGAACTTGGATCTTGAACTTTAATTGAAACGTTGCTTCACCGATATTCCGCCAACCTCCTTTGGATATGATCGTTGAAGCTCTATTCTATCCATCCTCCAACAAGTTGTTTGTCTACAATGAATAGATAACACAAGCACTAGACAAACAACATTAGTTGTAAATTGTTTGTTAAACATTATCAAAACAAGAAGGCCAACAAGCACCACTCATCCCGAATCTCTCAAGCACCCGTCTAATGTACTCGGCCTGAGATAGCCGCAGTGCGCCCAACAAGAAAGAATATACTCACAATATTTCTCCCCCTTTGATAACATCAAAAAGGGGACAAAAGAATTAAGAGAGCGAAAGCTCCCCCTATCAATAAGCATAGGTGAGTATAACATATAGAAAGATATAGGGATTGCTCCCCTATCAAAATGCCATATAGAATATATGAAATAAAAGATCATGGCAAACATGTGAGCAAGCATAAATAATATGCCAAAAATCACTCACAATCAAGAGATAATGAGAACATATATAAATATATCAAGATGAACATATTGTCTCATATCATAAAAGCCAATGTATGAAATCAAAAGAAGAGAAACATGAGAATCATGTAAAAAGTTTTTAAATAAAAACAAACCAACCAATTGAAATCATAAATCAAAGTTTAAATCATAAAACCAAATCATCATTGATTTTCAAAAATCAAGAGAGGCAACTCTATCTAGCTCTTGAGCTAGTATTAACCCATATGAACATTTTAGCATCCGGTAAACATGATTTGGGAATAAACACCTAATAAATCCGGAGGGTTATATATAATAATAATCATGAAAACAAAAGATTTGATACAAGAAAAATTGGTTTTCATATAAAAAGATTTCAAAGTATAATTTTCAAAACCAAGACAAAGAAGGATAAAAACATTAAAACTCTTAGTTTGAAAATCAAATTTGTTTCTGTACCCAAGAACTCTTGGTACCAAAAGATTTAGGGACATGACCCCTATCATTTAAGCTCAAAACCTTAGGGTTATGAACCCTCTTAGGTATATGTGGTGCACTAATATGGTCAAAACAATATTCATTCAAATGACCCTTCCGATTGCAATTT